TGGCCTCAAGGCTGAGCCCGTCACTTTCACCCTCTCCCTACTCATAGTCCTCTTCAGTGTGTTGGTCGCCCAGAGTCTTGGACTGGCTTTTGGTGCCATTCTCATGGATGTAAAACAAGCCACCACATTAGCGTCGGTCACAAGTCTGGTCTTCTTAATTGCCGGCGGTTACTACGTTCAGCACATCCCACCTTTCATTGTTTGGTTGAAATACCTGAGCTACAGCTACTACTGCTTCAAGCTTCTTCTAGGCGTTCAGTACGGCGAGAACGATCGCTACGAGTGCTCAAGAGGAGTTCATTGCAGGGTTGCAGACTTTCCTGCCGTAAGATCTATGGGTTTCAACCGTTTGTGGGCCGATGCATCCATAATGGCATTCATGTTGGTGAGCTATAGGCTTCTTGCTTACCTCGCACTCCGTCGCGTCAGATGATCGAGAAATAATCAACTGCTAGACGACAGAGTTTGATCATATGCCCGTACAAGATTTTGGACACACTATCGCTTGAGCATTGAGTTTTACACAAGAGTACTGTGAACTGACCAAAAGTTCTGTGAGTTTATTGATCAGTTTTTTTAATGAACAGAACAAATTAAAGAAGCATAGTGTTGTGGTAAAGTAGAGATGGGATCCCATGATTGCATAAGTAATTAATAAGTTTCGGAATTTGAATGAATGCATATATACGGAGTATGTAGTGTTTGTGTGTGGAGATCATTTCCCAAACGAACTGATGAGTAGTTTTAGTGCTTCCCAGTTGAAGAAAAACAGATCTCTCTCTAATTTCCCAGCCCTTCCTTCTCTATGTTGTCCCTAACTTGTGTTACGTACTCCTTGACTCCTTGTGATTTTCAATTTTAAAGATGGACAAATGTTGGGTTAAACTGTCCACTCGTGTGTCCTAGTAATGAAACAGTTTCAATGATGTGGTACAAATTGCCAACTGACAAACGGAAAATAAAGAGATCCACAAACAGTAAAAATATGTCCATATGTCGCTACAAAGTAATCGTTCGGATTGTATTCACACTTCTAGGGAATTTGAGCAAAGATATAGTATTATTGAGACAAATGATGCCTTATGTAACAAAGAAGTAAAGCACCAAAAAAAATCAAAGTAAATTTAATGTATATTTTGTTATTTCTCACACCCTCCCTCAATTAAGTCGCAGGTTCAACAACACCCAACTTGCATAGAGTACTCTTAAAGGATTCACGGCAAACATCCTTGGTGAGAATATTGGCAAACTTATTCTTTGCTTATATTACTCTAATACAATGTCAAGAAATCAACTTAACCAAAAATTCAAGGTTGTGGTTATGGCCCAAGAAAGGTTATATATATTCTAACACCTTGCTTTCCAGTTTCTCTTTGGTAAAATGTCGATTATCCTCCACATGTTTAGTGCGATCATGCTTAACAGGATTCTCTGATATGATGATATATGGTGGCTTTTTTTATCACAACAAAGTTCACACCCTTGCTTCTGTCGGAACCCAAGCTCCCCAACAACTTCCAAAGCTAGAGAACCTGCATAACATCTTTAGCAATCCCTTTGAATACAACCTTGATACTTGACATAGCAATGACCTTTTGCTTCTTACTCCTACAAGTAACCAGATTCCCTCCTACCAAAGTGAACTAGCCATAGGTAGCCTCCGATCCTATCATCACACTCTCCTGTCCAGTCAGCATAAGTAAAAGCATGGAGATCCAAGTGGCCAATATAATTCTCCTGAAAAAGATGCCTCTATTGCTTGTCCCCTTCAAATATCTCAAGATCCAGAAGACAACCTCCATGTGGATGGGTCTTGAGGTTGATGCATGAACTTGCTCACTACTCCTACTGCATAAGCACTGTTGGGTCGAGTGTGATAGAGGTAAATCAGCTTTCCAATTAATCTTTGATATTGATCCTCATTGGCCAATTAAGCTCCCTCCAAGATTTGAAGTCCATGGTTGTCAACAATCGAGGTTTGGGGCGCCCAATTTTAGACACCCTAACCTCCGGTTCATTCTGTGCACGCCACGTGGCAAAATCGCGTCACCGCTACGTCGGTCTCAATAAACCTATCTAGGGTGTCCAACTTGAAGCGTCCAAGTTGGATGCCCCAATCCCGGTTTTAGAACCTTCACATTTTTCTGCAATTCTCAGCCCAATCCAGTCTCAGATTCATCCTTTTGAGTCCCTGAACATTGGCTTTGACCTCTTAGAATCTTGTTCAAGCACAAATGTTGATCCTTCGACGATTGATTCCCTTTTTCTTAAATATTTAAACAGAAATTGGATGATTTAAGATGATTTCATGTGGAATCTCCTTTTATGACTTTTAGAATGAAAACAAAAGTTTTATTTATGAAAAATATATTTTATGAGATAATTAAGTACTATTTAAGTGCAATACATTTAGAATATGAAGTAAAAGATAAGAACGAAACGAACTTATCATCTTCCTTCTTCTTTTTTCTTCTTCTTTTGTCGCTGCTCTATTTCCGATTGCACGAAGGAGACGGGAGGGAGTTACGTAACAAGCGGCAATAGGGAGGGTTTGGGTGCATCAAGGGTGTGTATTCTATCTAAACGAGCAAAAATATTAATCTTTGATACAAAGTGATGTATATGGACGGAGGGAGTGTCTTCACCAAGCATTCGAAGTACTCGTCAATAAAATTTTATCACCTCAAAACTACTCAATATACTCAAACTACTTTGATTTGAAATGAACACTTGAGTCACACTACTCACTACATTTTCAATTGAAACATCTCAGTCACTCTACTCACTACATTTTCAAATGAAACATACATTTCATATATTAAAAAACAAAATACATTTCATCAATTAAAAAGAAAATACATTTCGTTAATAAAAAACAAGATACATTTGTTAATAAAAATACATTTATAAAAAAATAGAAAAGAAAATACATTTAATTAATAAAAAAGTGACATTATATTTATAAAAATACATTTTGATAATAAATAACAAATACATTTAATTAAAAAAGAAATACATTTCATTAAAAAACATATACAGCGCATGTTAATTTTTTGTCTTACTATTATATTAACACCTCTGAGTAAAAATAATAGTAATAATTGCGGAGTATCTACGGAGTATTATTTTGTTTTTGCATCTGCAGAACCAAAAAAATTACGCAATACTAAATTAGCTGATTGTATGTTTCACATTTACCATCGACTTTCATTCATTAAACAAAATACATTTCACTAATTAAAAGAATATATTTTAATTTTTTTAAAAACATTGTGTAGATATTTGAAAAAATATGGAAGGGAGAGTAGAAAAAGTGATTTTCAAGAATAAGGTAATATATATTGTGTTTAAGGGTGAGATAAAAATACGAGTACTATTTTTATGAGAAAAAAACATTTTTTTAAGTTTTAACAGCATTATTGATGCATCAAAACAAAAATTGCTTTGTCAACTTAAAAACAATGTTTTAAAAATGAAATCTGACCGGTCGGTCAGTCCGTGACCCAGACACGAATTTGATCCGGTTCATGGAGACTTCCTTGCATGAATGCCCCATATTCCCAAATATGGTTCGGTTCATTTTTACATAAAAACATGAGTATGTGTCAAGTGTCCAAAAAACATACTACCTCCGTCCCACTCTCTTTGTCCACTATTGAATTTTGGAACTGTTCATCTAAGCACTTTGACTCATCAAATTCTCTCAATGTGTAAGCCTAAGTATAGTCATGTGTGATCTTGTTTGATTTGTCTTAACATATAGATTATTAATATATAATTTCTATAATTTTTTAATATACAAATTACAAGATAAAGTGGATTAAAGAAGTGCATTGGATGGTGTGCCAAAAAATAAGTGGACAAAGAGAGTAGAACGGAGGGAGTATAAGAGTTTCTAAATTCTCCAAAGTCTTCATATGTAATATCAATTATGGAAAATTTGAATTTTTGGTATAATACTTTCATTTCTAACATAACATCACAGTCTTTTATGTAAAATATATAAATTACTTGTATCAATTGGTAATGTTAATAGAATTTCGTATTCGGATTAGTTATTGATGTTTATATTTCTTAGTTTTTTTAAAGTTTATTATATTGTTTAAAAGGTTTAATAGAATAGAAAAATGAATCTAATCGACTAATCAATTATTTGCATTTACATTTCTATGATTTTTTTCGCGTATCACATATACTCATATAAATACAGCGAAGTACCTAAAAAGTACGGTTCGGTTCAGGTTTTCGAAATAAAAACCAAAATGGGAACCAAATAATAACGGTTCGATTTGGTTTTTTTACATTCGGTTTGAGTTTGTTCGATTCGGTTTTTTTCCTAACCCGTTTTGATTAGTTTCGGTTCGGTTTGCAGTTTTCGATTTTCCCAACCCAGCCCAACTTCTAGTTCCTTCCAATTTTTTTTCAACTTTTGTCAAGTTTCTTCTACACTATGTTTGGTTCAAGGAATTTAAAAGGAAAAAAAATGATTTTCTCTCATTTTTCCTCACAAAAATTAGAGAAATTTGATAATCTCTCTTCTTAATATTCCCTCCGCCCCCATAGATCTTCTCATTAGCCCTTTTTATTTGTCCCACATAGATCTATTCATTAACTTTTTAACATTTAAAATACAACAACTACCATCATTTACTTTATTTATTATACCTTTTCCACCTTATTTAATACTCTCTCCATTCTCAAAAACATTACCTCTTTCATTTTTTTCACTTCCAACAAAATACTTCAACTTTTTATTAAAAAATCACTTTTACACTTATTTTTTCATACCCTATCTATCACATCATATTTTTTTCTCTAATAATCTATCCATCATATTTTACTTTTACCCATCTTCCTATTTACAATAGCAGCAGCAAAAGTTTACAGCTCAGTTGTGTAGGAATACGACGTCTGTTCGGGTACGTGTATTAAGAAACCCCATCCCAAGTCCTAACCAGTAACCACCCACTAACCCTAAGGAAATAATCGATGGCGATGGACGGAATCCATCGGAAGGAAGCATAGAAGACTGAGAGAGGGAGCAACCGGAGAAAAACTGGAGAAAGAAGGATAAGGTGGAGGTTGTCGTTGAGAGAGTACTGTTCATCATCTTCTTCAACTTTGACGCAGCGGCTATAGTACATCCGAATTTCATCAAATCTTCATACATTTTTTCTTAATTAAGGTTTCAATCTATCTACTCTTATATATCTCCATATTAATTTCATGTTATTTCATCAATTAAACAATCTATTTTTGGTTTGTTAGGTATTTCATGATTTTTAATCACAAATAGTATTGTTTTTTAAATAGTGTATTATTAAATGGAATCAAATATCCGAATCTGCAGTTTGAAACCCAAGATGCAGTAGAAATTCATGGAAAAATTACTAAAAAAATTTGGACCATTTGTCATTTTGTGTGTGTCATCCTTGCAGAAGGGCATGTAATTTGCTCTCTATTATCCAATCACAAATAGAAAATAAAGATTAAATTTTTTATTCATGATTTTTATTTTCAAGTGCTTTGTCAATTTGTGTGTGTCATCCTTGCAGAAGGGCATGCTAATTTACTCTCTAGAGTTTTTTCTTCCGTCAATTTCCAGAGGCTGAGCCTATGCAAATTCATAGCACATGAAGGGAGACAACACTGAGAGATGGAGCAATGATGCCAAGAATCCTCCTATCCTACTATTTACAATAGGAGCATGAAAAATTGCCTCCCAAATGCTATATCAATCGTCTCACCCACGATCTCTCACATAAGTAGACGCATGATCTCGCATCGCCACCCAAATCCAAGGAGAGCTATGTGTAGCTCTCAACCATACCTGATTTTTCTTCACTATCGCTGAGCCGGAAGGGAGACGATGATTTTGGCCTACCTCTTGGATGACGGTGACTGTGGCTGTGAACTTGATGGCTTACCTTTGCTGCATTATTTTGGCTTACCTCTTGGATAACGGGCAAAACTAAAGATGAACTGTCAAGGTATTAATTTACAACTTTTAATGTTCTATTTATTAAATTTTCGTTTTCAAGTTTGTTTACCATTATCATAAATTTGATTAACTAATACTCCCTCCATTTCTTAAAACTCTTCCTCTTTCATTTTTTTTGTTTTTCTTAAAACACTTCCCTTTTCTATTAAAAAACCACTTTTACCCCTACTTTTTCATACCCTACCTATCACATCATACTTTTTCACTAACAACTAAACTATCACATCTTACTTTTACCCATCACATCAAGGACAAAATTGGAAAGTCAACTACTCCCTCCGTCCCTCATAGATCTTCTCAATAACCCTTTTTCTTTGTCCACAATAGATCTTCTCATTTCATTTTTTAACAATTAAAATACCACAATTACCCCCACTTACTTTATTTATTACACCTCACCCACCTCATTTAATACACTCCACCCATTTTTCATTAAGGATATTATGGTAAACTTTTACCTTTTTTCAACTCTCCTTAAAAACCACCAAAAGTCAAAATGAGAACATCTTAGGGAGACGGAGGGAGTACAATTTAACACTTCCTTATTTTCTCCCAAAGTCAAAAGAGGAACTCTTTTGAGAAACGGAGGGAGTATATAATAATTTTGTGTTTAACTTCAACTTTGTGGTTAATTTTGTTTAATTACCCTACTTTCCCCTTGCTAAATGTTGAGTTTTTATATGCACTCATTGAATTTATCAAAGGACAACTTCGGGAGCCAGATCCATTCCTCAATGAACTGACAAACATGATTGAGCAAACTATGAAAAAGGGCTTTGTTTGGGTTACTCTTAAACACTGTAATTTATTCTCGATATTCGTATTACATTTCATTGATGCATTATTTATTGATTAAAATATTAACGTTCTCTATCATGAGTGTGCGGCTTCTGATAAGTCCAAATCCCAACGGAATAAAAATGAAGACTGCTGGGAAAAAAATGAACATAGGCGGCTCATTTGAGCAACCGATGGGAAAAAGAACATTTCAACCATGGTAAACATTGTTTGCTGCATTTTTAAACTTTTTTGTTTTGCTTAATTTGTGTTGGATTGCTATTCTCTAAATCTTTTGCTAATTAATGTTGTTTAAAGTAGCATGTCATGTGGAGTGTATTAAATGAGGTGGGTGAGGTGTAATAAATAAAGTAAGTGAGGTAGTTGTGGTATTTTAATTGTTAAAATTTGAAATGAGAAGATCTATTGTGGACAAAGAAAAAGGGCTATTGGGAAGATCTATGGGGGACAGAAGGAGTATATGATCTTGCAATGCAATTAACATCATTTTTTGAAGGAGTTGCAGGTATATGCAGTGTCGATGATGGAATTATATAGTTTCCAGGTATCTTTGATTTTTTTAAAGATCCTATACTTATGGTGGTGAATTTGTTTGGCTTGGTTATAATGAGACAAACTTTACTTATAAATTATATTGTACTCCATAATTTTATTATATACAGAGTAATATTCTTACCGTGCATCGCACGGGTAAAATCTAGTCACATCAGGGGCAAAACTGGAAGTCAACTATAATTTAACACTTCCTTATTTTTACTCCAAGTCAAAATAGGAAGCCTTTTTGCAAACGGAGGAAGTACACCCCACCCATTTTCATTAAGGGTATTTTGGTAAATTTTCACTTTTTTCAACTCTACTTAAAAATCACAAAAAATCAAAACGAGAAGATCTTAATGGGACGGAGGGATTATATTTTATCTTCTCATTCTCTTTTTCTTTCTTTTTTTTCTTATCTATCCAAACAATAAAAACTTGAGAAATTTATCTAAATAGGACTAAAACATAATGACTTTCCTAATATAAGATCATACAGAATATGTTTTTATTTTCTAATATAGGACCTTTGGTTATTATCAAGTAGTCATTATTCAAGCAAATGTCCATCATTACTAGATATTATTTCTCCCACTAGGTCATTATTAAGTCTTTTTTAGAGAGTAAAAAAATATAAATCTTACATTACGAAAGTCATTATGTTTTAATCCTATTTAGTCCAAATTTCACTAAAAACTTTCGTATCTTTTTTTTCTTTTCCATTTCAAATTCCTTGAACCAACATAGGTATATGGTACATCCGGCTCTACCTAGAAATAAGTATATCCGAGCAATACTCATTCTGAAGTAAAACAGTACTCATTCTCGTACAAATATAATTATCGTGGTACTCATTCTAAAATAATATAGTACTCATTTTACACATTGGTTCAATACAATCATAATATTCATCTACAAATAACATAGTGTTCATTCTGAAACAAAACAATACACATTCTCAAATAATTCAATGTCCATTGTCGTGTAAAATAAAATTCATACCAAAACCCCTCAACCCGAGGGTTTTTTCATCCAGCGCCTCCTTCGATCAGCAGCGCCTCCTTCGACCCGTACAAAAGCTTTCTTCCGATTGAAGGAGCGCCTCTCCTTCCTCGATCGACCTCTCCTTCCACTCATAGCGACCCGACGCAAGCACCTCTCCTTTCTCCTCCCATCAACGCAGCTATTCTTCTTCCTTCGATTTACGGGCTGTACCTGTATAATATAATTTGCGCCAACATAGTGCTAGTTTTGTGGGGAGTATTTTTTTAAGACCTGAAAACAGGATGAGTATGTAACTTCGTCCCAAAAGGCACAGAGAAAGAAGATCTGATAAGACCATCTCTTCTCGAATCCGAAGTCGGAACATTGGCGATGATGAACCCAAACTTCTACAACCGACTAATCAGACCCATAGTAGCCTCATCTTCAGCGGTAAGCAATTCTCTTCATCTTATCAATTTCATCAATTTTTGTTTTGCTTTTTTGAAGTTTTGATATAAAAAGAATTGGTTTAACTTTAAAGCTACGATCTTTGCTTTTGTTGTTTGAAACCCATATGCAAAATCGGTTATTTTGGGTCAAGTGATTCTCTTCATCTTATCAATATCATCAATTTATGTTTTGCTTTCTTGAAGTTTTAATTAAAGAGAATTGGTTTGGTTTTAAAGCTACGATCTTTGCTCGTGTGGTTTGAAATCCATCTGCAAGATCAGTTATTTTTTGTTCGCTCCACACACTCACAAAACCCCCCAGCAGCTTGTACTGATTGTATAAAGCATCCATTTGGTCTTTCTTAAAGTTTTACTCCAAAATTTGGGTTCAAGTTCATGTTTTTTGAATAGTTAAGGTGCCAATCTGCAAAAGCACTGTCTTTCTTGTAGTGTTACTCCAAAATTTGGGCTTAATTTCTAAGATTTTGGCATTTGTTCATGCTGTTTGCAAAATCAGTTGAAGTGATACTCCAAAATTTGGGCTTAATTTTAAAGTTACGGTCTTTGTTACCATTGTCTGCAAATTCTGGAACAATGTTTTTGAGTTCTGCAACTAGGTACATGATCAAATGAGTTTTTTTGGCCTGTTTGAGAATATCGTTAGTGTTTTGAAAAAGCTATCTAAGGGCAACGTTTAGCTTTAGTGTTTTTAGAGTAAATCTACACCGTTAAAATTTTATTCATAACACTAAGGCTAATAAAAAACGCTATTCTGAAACGGGCCCTTTACTCATCCTCATTCCCAATATGTTCCCAAATTATGTAGATGCAGGATTATCGTATACTGAGGCAGTATCACAACAATCCTTTGCCTAAACCGCGTATGGTTGACACACGGCCCTTGAGTATAATCTCACCTATCAATATCATCAAGCCAGTGTGTGAAAGGACCCCGCTTGTACCTTCATCGAGCAAACTTTCAACTTATCAAATACTTGGACCCGGAATAATCCTCTTGGAGGATTACATCAGCATCAAGGACCAGGTATTTGTTTTCCATGTGTTTTTTGCACCTTTCTGATTTGAAGTATATCTGTTCGTGTTATGGTTATCTAAAGATTTGATTGTATACATGCGAAACCTGGGATGGGCTTAGTTAACCAGGGAAGCTAATATACTAAGAATGGAATGCCAGTTTGTTTATAGCACTTGTTTTGTCAAAGGCGGAACTACCTTTCAAGTTTGGATTAAGAAGTTTAAAAAAATATAGTTTTACTTTGCCTTTCATATATCATACAAACAAATACAAACACTTTGGTTGTTCCTTAAAGAATGGATACAATGATTTCCTTATTGCAAAAAGGCTCCATGTACAATCATCACAACATGACGGGCATGTTTTTTAANAGGGAAGCTAATATACTAAGAATGGAATGCCAGTTTGTTTATAGCACTTGTTTTGTCAAAGGCGGAACTACCTTTCAAGTTTGGATTAAGAAGTTTAAAAAAATATAGTTTTACTTTGCCTTTCATATATCATACAAACAAATACAAACACTTTGGTTGTTCCTTAAAGAATGGATACAATGATTTCCTTATTGCAAAAAGGCTCCATGTACAATCATCACAACATGACGGGCATGTTTTTTAATCCTGTTTTTATGGATTTTTAAATGGGATTGAGGAACATTTTTATTGTTAGTTAATTAACAACCAACACATACATTATACATATGTTGTAGTTTAACTTTTCGATGAATCTTGTGAATTGCAACCATGGCTTTGTTTTTAGGTTGATATTGTGAATATATGTCAAAAGTGGGGCATGGGTTCTGGAGGGTTTTACACGACAAGAGAACTTGAACGATATATGATGTGTTTTGGTCGAAATTGGGACCCTGTACGTCTGCTCCGAGCCTCGGACCTCCATCTTTGCCGATTCAGCACCTAGTCCTCCGACCTCAATCTTCTTCGGTGGCATGTGACGACCCTGAACGTTGCCCCGAGCCTCGGACCTCCATCTTTGCCGGTTCAGCTCCTAGTCCTCCGACCTCAATCTTCTTCGGTGGCATGTGACGACCCTGGACGTCTGCTCCGAGCCTCGGACCTCCATCTTTGCCGATTCAGCACCTAGTCCTCCGACCTCAATCTTCTTCGGTGGCATGTGACGACCCTGAACGTCTGCTTCGAGCCTCGGACCTCCATCTTTGCCGATTCAGCTCCTAGTCCTCCGACCTCAATCTTCTTCGGTGGCATGTGACGACCCTGAACGTCTGCTCCGAGCCTCGGACCTCCATCTTTGCCGATTCAGCTCCTAGTCCTCCGACTTCAATCTTCTTCAGTGGCATGTGACGACCTTGAATGTCTGCTCCGAGCCTCCGACAATTTCATAAGGTTTGCTACTTTGCTTCATCTATTCCTTTTTAGTTTTTACAATGTTGTTTTCTTTATTTTAATGTTTGCTACTGCTCAAAATTTGCAATAATGTGCTTCAATGAACCTGTTGTGAATCCATGACACTGCGAATTTGTGATTTTATGTCAAATGTGTGCGTGTACTCGAATTGGTTTTTAATTTCATACTCTGTGCAAAATTTCATAATTTGTTCTTCATCTTCACCGGTTCAAGAGAAAACAGAGGGATGAATTCAAAAAGACATACTCTTGGTGCATTCATTATCATTGAATAAATTTCATTATTGTGCTGCAATTGTGCCTATAGATGTGAGTCTATCACTATCTAATGAGATTCATTGCAGAATTAAAGTCTTATACTGAGTGATTTATTTATTGGTGCATCCACCATATTTTTCCTATTTCGTGCCAGAAGCTACTTTACCTCCAATTGCTTGTACATGACGTGGATATCTCTTGTTAAATCATACTGATTACCACTTATTCCTTTTCTTTTCCTTTCGGTTTTCGGTCTCCAAATGAAGATACGAATAAAACATTGGAATTCTCATGACGGGTTGGATTTTCACTTGACTGTACACATTGTTTGTCATATTAGTGAAAATGTTGTTCCAGTGCTTGATCGTCAATTTGCTTAAGATTCTTTCCCATTTTACCGTGTCCAAATAGCCAAGGATTAATTAAAGGGATGGCTCAATGTTTGCAAGTGTCATATGGTGGTGCTGAACTGTTGGGTGCTGTTTGCTGAAATCAAAGAGGTTGTTTCAACCCTTTCAAGAAAGGCTTCCAATTATTCAAAGTTGCAGTACATAGGATTGTTTCGAGTTTGTAATGTTTGCAAACTTTTTAATGTTTTTTTTCAAAAGTACTTTCTAAAATTTAAAGTGTTCAAAATATACACGTAATAAATTAGAATTATGTCATCTACAGGTGTGAAATGTCTTTGTTGAGGGCTGTGAGAGTTTACTCTACGCGTGCACGGAGAAGTTTCCAACAACTTATTGCTTTGAACGAAGATGAAAGGGCCAGAAGCCCCTTCACACATTTTGACAAACCGAGAACCACGCTGTATACGCGTGAGCAAGATATTTTGATTGTGGGTGATGGAGATTTCTCCTTCACCCACAGTCTTCCCGCCAGATTTGGGACAGCTCCAAGCATTTTTTCCACGAGCCTTGATCCTCAATGTAAGCATTCTAGTATAAATCGTTGTCATTGTTTGAGTCTAAAAACTTATAAAAAACGACATTTGTATATTTTATAAGATAATTCTTGTTTAATTTTTTAAATAATATGAACAGGGTTTTTAAAAAAGAACTACAGTCAAGCTGAATATCACTTGGCCAACTCTTTGGTAAGAGGGGTCAGAGGCAAGCTCGTGGTTGATGCCACGAAATTGTTGGACTACCCCGAAATCAAATATATGCAATTTGATGTGGTGGTCTTCAATCGGGCCCATTGTGGCATTCACAGGAAAGATTATGAGGGATCTGTTATTAGGTATCTACTTGTTTAAGAATAATCTCTCTGTGTGTGTGTATTATTGTTTCCGATAAGATGATTTTTTATATGTAGTGGCGTGATATATGTATATGATTTTGTAGACGCAATCAACGCCTCATCAAAGATTTTATGAACAATGTAAGTAGGTTGCTCAAACCCAACGGCGAACTACATTTGAGTGTGAAGACAAATCCTCCTTTTGATAAGTAGAAGGTTGAAGAATTAGCTGAAAAGGCTGGACTGCGCCTAATAAAGAAGGTGGACTCTGTTGGCTGAATACCCTTTCTACATCAACCGGAAAGGGTCCAAACATGCAGCTGACGAGATGTTCTGCAATTGGAATACGTTCACCTTCGTTTTTGGTAAGAAAATATTTTTTTTAGTACTTACAAAGAGAGTAATTTAGTCTTAGAATTCCCAAAACACTAATACACTGCTTTTGAATTCCAATCGAAGCATTAGTAACTGACAAAGTTCAATCAAAGTAACGAGGATATTATATCTGTGCGGATTTGCTAATTCTCTGTGTTCCATTTCAGGATCATGAATTTCCCTATACGATTTGAATGTTTTTCTGATTCTTTGTGTTCCATTACAGATATAATAGGATCGTGATATAAGCAAATCAGAAAAAAATTCAAATCGTATAGGATTCACGATCCTGAAATGGAACACAGAGAATTAGCAAATCCGCACAGATATAATATCCTCGTTACTTTGATTGAGCTTTGTCAGTTACTAATGCTTCTATTGGAATTTAGAAGTAGTGTTTTGGGAATTCTTGGACTAAATTACTCTCTTTGTAAGTAATAAAAAAATTACTTTCTTACCAAAAACGAAGGTAAACGTATTCCAATTGCAGAACGTCTCCTCGGCTGCATGTTTGGACCCTTTCCGATTGATGTAGAAAGGGTATTCAGCCAACAGAGTCCACCTTCTTTATTAGGCGCAGTCCAGCTTCTTCAGCTAATTCTTCAACCTTCTACTTATCAAAAGGAGGATTTGTCTTCACACTCAAATGCAGTTCGCCGTTGAGTTTGAGCAACCTACTTACATTGTTCACAAACTCTTTGATGAGGCGTTGATTGCGTCTACAAAATCATATACATATATCACACCACTACATATATAAAATCATCTTACCGGAGTCAATATTACACACACACAGAGAGAGATTATTCTAAAACAAGTAGATACCTAATAACAGATCCCTCATAATCTTTCCTGTGAATGCCACAATGGGCCCGATTGAAGACCACCACATCAAATTGCATATATTTGATTTCGGGGTAGTCCAACAATTTCGTGGCATCAACCACGAGCTTGCCTCTGACCCCTCTTACCAAAGAGTTGGCCAAGTGATATTCAGCTTGACTGTAGTTCTTTTTTAAAAACCCTGTTCATATTATTTAAAAAATTAAACAAGAATTATCTTATAAAATATACAAATGTCGTTTTTTATAAGTTTTTAGACTCAAACAATGACAACGATTTATACTAGAATGCTTACATTGAGGATCAAGGCTCGTGGAAAAAATGCTTGGAGCTGTCCCAAATCTGGCGGGAAGACTGTGGGTGAAGGAGAAATCTCCATCACCCACAATCAAAATATCTTGCTCACGCGTATACAGCGTGGTTCTCGGTTTGTCAAAATGTGTGAAGGGGCTTCTGGCCCTTTCATCTTCGTTCAAAGCAATAAGTTGTTGGAAACTTCTCCGTGCACGCGTAGAGTAAACTCTCACAGCCCTCAACAAAGACATTTCACACCTGTAGATGACATAATTCTAATTTATTACGTGTATATTTTGAACACTTTAAATTTTAGAAAGTACTTTTGAAAAAAAACATTAAAAAGTTTGCAAACATTACAAACTCGAAACAATCCTATGTACTGCAACTTTGAATAATTGGAAGCCTTTCTTGAAAGGGTTGAAACAACCTCTTTGATTTCAGCAAACAGCACCCAACAGTTCAGCACCACCATATGACACTTGCAAACATTGAGCCATCCCTTTAATTAATCCTTGGCTATTTGGACACGGTAAAATGGGAAAGAATCTTAAGCAAATTGACGATCAAGCACTGGAACAACATTTTCACTAATATGACAAACAATGTGTACAGTCAAGTGAAAATCCAACCCGTCATGAGAATTCCAATGTTTTATTCGTATCTTCATTTGGAGACCGAAAACCGAAAGGAAAAGAAAAGGAATAAGTGGTAATCAGTATGATTTAACAAGAGATATCCACGTCATGTACAAGCAATTGGAGGTAAAGTAGCTTCTGGCACGAAATAGGAAAAATATGGTGGATGCACCAATAAATAAATCACTCAGTATAAGACTTTAATTCTGCAATGAATCTCATTAGATAGTGATAGACTCACATCTATAGGCACAATTGCAGCACAATAATGAAATTTATTCAATGATAATGAATGCACCAAGAGTATGTCTTTTTGAATTCATCCCTCTGTTTTCTCTTGAACCGGTGAAGATGAAGAACAAATTATGAAATTTTGCACAGAGTATGAAATTAAAAACCAATTCGAGTACACGCACACATTTGACATAAAATCACAAATTCGCAGTGTCATGGATTCACAACAGGTTCATTGAAGCACATTATTGCAAATTTTGAGCAGTAGCAAACATTAAAATAAAGAAAACAACATTGTAAAAACTAAAAAGGAATAGATGAAGCAAAGTAGCAAACCTTATGAAATTGTCGGAGGCTCGGAGCAGACATTCAAGGTCGTCACATGCCACTGAAGAAGATTGAAGTCGGAGGACTAGGAGCTGAATCGGCAAAGATGGAGGTCCGAGGCTCGGAGCAGACGTTCAGGGTCGTCACATGCCACCGAAGAAGATTGAGGTCGGAGGACTAGGAGCTGAATCGGCAAAGATGGAGGTCCGAGGCTCGAAGCAGACGTTCAGGGTCGTCACATGCCACCGAAGAAGATTGAGGTCGGAGGACTAGGTGCTGAATCGGCAAAGATGGAGGTCCGAGGCTCGGAGCAGACGTCCAGGGTCGTCACATGCCACCGAAGAAGATTGAGGTCGGAGGACTAGGAGCTGAACCGGCAAAGATGGAGGTCCGAGGCTCGGGGCAACGTTCAGGGTCGTCACATGCCACCGAAGAAGATTGAGGTCGGAGGACTAGGTGCTGAATCGGCAAAGATGGAGGTCCGAGGCTCGGAGCAGACGTACAGGGTCCCAATTTCGACCAAAACACATCATATATCGTTCAAGTTCTCTTGTCGTGTAAAACCCTCCAGAACCCATGCCCCACTTTTGACATATATTCACAATATCAACCTAAAAACAAAGCCATGGTTGCAATTCACAAGATTCATCGAAAAGTTAAACTACAACATATGTATAATGTATGTGTTGGTTGTTAATTAACTAACAATAAAAATGTTCCTCAATCCCATTTAAAAATCCATAAAAACAGGATTAAAAAACATGCCCGTCATGTTGTGATGATTGTACATGGAGCCTTTTTGCAATAAGGAAATCATTGTATCCATTCTTTAAGGAACAACCAAAGTGTTTGTATTTGTTTGTATGATATATGAAAGGCAAAGTAAAACTATATTTTTTTAAACTTCTTAATCCAAACTTGAAAGGTAGTTCCGCCTTTGACAAAACAAGTGCTATAAACAAACTGGCATTCCATTCTTAGTATATTAGCTTCCCTAGTTAACTAAGCCCATCCCAGGTTTCGCATGTATACAATCAAATCTTTAAGGATTAATTTGATACTTCCTTAGTATACGATAATCCTGCATCATAATTGGGAACATATTGGGAATGAGGATGAGTAAAGGGCCCGTTTCAGAATAGCGTTTTTTATTAGCCTTAGCGTTATGAATAAAATTTTAACGGTGTAGATTTACTCTAGCTCTAGGGGTAACATCACATTTTTTGGCTAAATTTTAAATTTATCAAAAAAGATTCCACTTTTTACATCGATATTTATATTTACAGGTACAATCCTTTTTAAAAGTTTCATGTCAAAACGACTTGTTAGTAATGTCTAAATTATAATTTATTTAGTTTTTTGCTCGAGGAGTACCATCACATTTTTTGGCAAAATTTTAAATTCATCAAAAAAATTTTCAAATTTGACATGGACATTTCTATTTGCATGTAAAATCTTTTGTAGAAATTTAATGTTAAAATGACTTGTCAGTAATGTATAAATTAGAATTTTTTTAATTTTGGCCTCGAGCTCTAGAGGTATTATCATATTCTTGGCTAAATTTTAAATTTATAAAAAAACTTGTCAAATTCGACATGGATATTATATTTGAATGTAAAATACTTTCTAAGAGTTTCATGTCAAAAAGACTTGACAATAATGTCTAAATTATAATTTTTTCAGTTTTGGGCTTGAGCTTTGGGGTACCATCACAATTTTTGTCCAAATTTTAAATTAATCAAAAAACGTGCCAAATTTGACATGGATATTTATATTTGCATGTAAGATCCTTTATAAAAATTTCATGTCAAAAGACTTATCTGTAATGTCTAAATTATAATTTGTTTTAGTTTTGGGCTCGAGCTCTAGGGGTACTATAACATGGATATTTCTATTTGCATGTAAAATCCTTTGTAAAAATTCTATAAGAGTTTCATGTCAAAAATCCTTTGTTAAAAAGACTTGTCAGTAATTTATAAATTATAATTATTTTAGTTTTAGCCTCGAGCTCTAGGGTAATATCACATTTTTTTAGCCAAATTTTGAATTTATGAAAAAAATTTCCAAATATGACATCGATAAAGTTGCAAAATTTTAAATTTTGGCTGGATTTTGGCCTCGAGCTCTAGGGGTAATATCACATTTTTTGGCTAAATTTTAATTCCATCAAAAAAGTTGCAAAATTTGACATGAATGTTTCTATTTACATTTAAAATCCTTTGTAAAATTTTCATGCCATATAGACATGTCAATAATTTCTTAATTATTGTTTTTTCAATTTTGGCCTCAAGCCCTAGAGGTACCATCATGTTTTTTTGCCCAAATTTTAAATTCATCAAAAAAGTTGCCGAATTAGACATTGATGTTTTATTTGAATGTAAAATTCTTTGTAAACCTTTCATGTCAAAAAGTTTTGTCAATAATATCTAAATTATTATTTTTTAAGTTTTGCCCTTGAGCTCTAAGGGGTACCATCACAATATTTGGCTAAATTTTAATTTCATCAAAAAAGTTGTAAAATTTGACATGAATGTTTCTGTTTACATATACAATCATTTGTAAAATTTTCATGCCAAATAGACATGTCAATAATGTCTTAATTATTATTTTTTTAGTTTTGGCATCTTGTCCTAGGGGTACCATCACGTTTTTTTGGCAAAATTTTAAATTAATCAAAAAAGTTGCTGATTGCTGAATTTGACATGGATGTTTCTATACGAATGTAAAATCCTTTGTAAAAGTTTCATGTCAAAAGTCTTGTCAATAATATCTAAATTATTATTTTTTTTAGTTTTGGCCTCGAGCTCCAAAGATTACCATCACAATATTTGGCTAAATTTTAATTCCATCAATAAAGTTGTAAAATTTGACATGAATAATGTCTTAATTATTATTTTTTTAGTTTTGGCCTCAAGCCCTAGAGGTACCATCATGTTTTTTTGGCCAAATTTTAAATTAATCAAAAAAGTTGCCGAATTTGACATTGATGTTTGTCATGTTTCTATTTGAACGTAAAATGCTTTGTAAACTTTTCATGTCAAAAAGTCTTGTCAATAATATCTAAATTATTATTTTTTAAGTTTTGCCCTCGAGCTCTAAGGGGTACCATCACAATATTTGGCTAAATTTTAATTCCATCAAAAAGTTGCAAAATTTGACATAAATGTTTCTATTTACATATACAATCATTTGTAAAATTTTCATGCCAAATAGACATGTCAATAATGTCTTAATTATTATTTTTTTAGTTTTGGCCTCTGGCCCCTAGGGGTACCATCACGTTTTTTTGGCGAAATTTTAAATTCATCAAAAAAGTTGCTGATTGCTGAATTTGACATGGATGTTTCTATTTGAATGTAAAATCCTTTATAAAAGTTTCATGTAAAAAAGTTTTGTCAATAATATCTAAATTATTATTTTTTGTAGTTTTGACCTCGAGCTCCAAGGGGTACCATCACAATATTTGGCTAAATTTTAATTCCATAAAAAAAGTTGCAAAATTTGACAGGAATGTTTCTATTTACATATACAATCCTTTGTAAAATTTTCATGCCAAATAGACATGTCAATAATGTCTTAATTATTATTTTTTTAGTTTTGGTTCGAGCCCTAGGGGTACCATCACGTTTTTTTGGCCAAATTTTAAATTTATCAAAAAAGTTTCCGAATTTGACATGGATGTTTCTATTTAAATGTAAAATCCTTTGTAAAAGTTTCATGTAAAAAAGAATTGTCAATAATGTCTAAATTATTATTTTTTTAGTTTTCGATTTACATATACAATCCTTTGTAAAATTTTCATGCCAAATAAACATGTCAATAATGTCTTAATTATTATTATTTTTAGTTTTGGCATCGAGCCCTAGGGGTATTATCACATTTTCTTGGCCAAATTTTAAATTCATCAAAAAAGATGCCGAATGTGATGGTACCCTTAAGGCTCAATGCCAAAACTAAAAAATAATAATTTAGACGTTATTGACAAGTCTTTTAAACATGAAACTATTACAAATGAGTTCACATTGAAAATAGAAACACCAATGTAAATTTTGCAACTTTTTTGATAGAATTAAAAATTGGCAAAAAAATATGATGGTACTACTAGCGTTCGAAGCCAAAACAAAAAAAATTATAATTTAGATATTATTGACATGTTTTTTTTATTTAAAACTTTTACAAATGATTTTACATACAAAATAGAAACATTCATGTCAAATTTTGCAAGTTTTTGATAAATTTCCATTTGGCTAAATTTTAAATCCATAAAAAATGTTGCAAAATTTGACATGGATGTTTCTATTTACATGTACAATCCTTTTCAAAATTTGACATGGATGTTTGTATTTACATGTCTATAATGTGTTAATTATTATTATTTTTAGTGCAGGCCTCGAGGCTTAGGTGTACTATAACATTTTTTTGGCCAAATTTAAAATTCATCTAAAAAGTTGACGAATTTGACATGAATGTCTATATTTTCATGTAAAATCATTTGTAAAAGTTTATGTCAAAAAGAATTGTCAATAATTTCTAAATTATTTTTTTTAATTTTGCCATGGAGCTCCAAGGGGTACCATCACAATATTTGTCTAAATTTTAATTCCATAAAAAAGTTGCAGAATTTGACAGAATGTTTCTATTTACATATACAATCCTTTGTAAAATTTTCATGCCAAATAAACATGTCAATAATGTCATAATTAGTATTTTTTTAGTTTTGGCCTCGAGCCTTAGAGGTACCATCACGTTTTTTTGGCCAAATTTTAAATTCAGTAAAAAAGTTGCCGAATTTGACATGGATGTTTCTATTTGAAGTTTAAATCCTTTGTAAAAGCTTCATGTCAAAAAGTATTGTCAATAATATCTAAATTAATTTTTTTTAGTTTTGCCCTCGAGCTATAGGGGTACAATCACAATATTTGGCTAAATTTTGATTCTATCATAAAAAGTTGCAAAATTTTACATGAATGTTTCTATTAACATATACAATCCTTTGTAAAATTTTCATGCCAAATAGACATGTCAATAATGTCTTAGTTATTATTTTTTAATTTTGGCCTCGAGCCCTAGGGGTACCATCACGTTTTTTTGGCCAAATTTTAAATTCAGCAAAAAAATTGCCGAATTTGCTTGGATGTTTCTATTTGAACGTAAAATCCTTTGTAAAAGCTTCATGTCAAAAAGTCTTGTCAATAATATCTAAATTATTATTCTTTTAGTTTTGCCGTCGAGCTCCAAGGGATACCATCACAATATTTGGCTAAATTTTAATTCCATCAAAAAAGTTGCAATAGACATGAATTTTTCTATTTACATATACCATCCTTTGCAAAATTTTCATGCCAAATAGACATGTCAATAATGTCTTAATCATTATTTTTTTTAGTTTTGGCCTCAAGCCCTAGGGGTACCATCATGTTTTTTTGGCAAAATTTTAAATTCATCAAAAAAGTTGCCAGAATTTGACATAGATGTTTCTATTTGAACGTAAAATGCTTTGTAAAATTTTCATGTCAAAAAGTCTTGTCAATAATATCTAAACTATTATTTTTTTAGTTTTACCCTCGAGCTCCAAGGGGTACCAACACAATATTTGGCCAAATATTGATTCCATCAAAAAAAGTTGCAAAACTTGACACGAATGTTTCT